GAAAAAATTTAAACCAAAATAGGGTTTAAAAAAAAAAAAAAAAAAAAAAAAAAGCAGTTGCAGAACTAATATTACAGCTTCTGGCTGGCAACAGTGAGTTGAATCATTAACCACACACTAGACTCTGATGGAATCATATCTCTGCAATAGTTTACTTCTCTCCTTTCACAAAGCGTGGTACCATTATGTGGCTTTGTAATGCTGCCTCAATGGAGTATAATTGGGATTTGGGAGGAGATATCACTAGACATGTAAGCTGCAGAAAAATATGGTTCGGTTATTTCGGGTTTCGGACGAAATTCGGATTTTCGCTAGTTTCTGATGGGTTTACACTTATTTGTTGTGAATACCACAGAAAACTATATACAGATATTAATACTAAAGCTTAAGCCCCCCGACCCGAATTTGGGATCAGAATTTCCGAATTGCATTCGGGAGCTCCCGAATGCCATTCGGGTCTGGGGGCCATATACATATATTGCTAAAGCTGAGGCTCCCCAGACCCGAATGGCATACAGGAGCTCCCGAATGCAATACAGAAATTGGGATCCCGAATGCCATTCGGGTCTAGGAGCCTCAGCTTCAGTATTATATGTATATACTGTATATGGCTCCCATGTTGCGGCAACGAAAAATTAGTGTTCCCATTCGGGTTGCATTAAACCGAAAAACACATCTGATTGGCCAGTCACATGTCCGATTCAGTTTAGTTATTCAATGAAATTCGGACAGGATCTGAAACTCAGAAACAGAAATTCGCATTCGGACACATTCAGATGCATTGGGATTTGGAAATTCGGATGTGTCCGAATGTCTGAATTTCAGAACATTTGTTTGAATTTTCATTCGGACCGAAACGAATTGCACATGTCTAGAATTCGCATTGAGGGCCATTACAAAGTGTAGACAGTAGTCACAGAGAGGCATGGACGGTGGTTTGGATGACTCCAACTATCTGACTTGTGTCCATGTGTTTGAAGATCAGATCAGAGCAAGATAATGAAACAAAGGGTCAATCAGACTAAATGGAAGAGTTTGTTCATTGTCAGATAAGAACAGGGAATGAAACATGTCTACTGGCAACATAATGTTGCTGGAAAATGCCGTGAGATGAGTGAAGAAGATTGTTTTTCCATATCTTGCTTTTTTTTTTAATGTATATGGTTGCTCTTCCAACCTTCTGAGATGGAACAAAGGGACATCTATAACCACAATGTAGAGCAAAGTCAAGTCATGAAGTGTAGACCATGAAGAATTTGAGTGCACAAGGCAGGTATTCATGCAATTACAGATAACATGCAGTAGTCAGTAGACATGGGCGATTCGTTCCGAATAAAAATTCAGACAAATTTTCCGAAATCCAGACATTCAGACACATCCGAATTTCGGAATCCCAATGCATCCGAATGTGTCCAAACACGAATTTGCGTTACGACGACATGGTAGCCATATACAGTATATACATAAAATACTAAAAGCTGAGGCTCCTTAACCCACATGGCATTCGGGGTCCGAATTCCATTTGGGAGCTCCTGAATCCCTTTCGGGTCTGGGAGCCTCAGCTTTAGTAATACAGTATATGTATATAGCTCCCAGACCCGAATGGCTTTCGAGGTTCCGAATTGCATTTGGGAACTCCCGAATGCCATTCGGGTCTGGGAGCCAGATACATATACTGTATTACTAAAGCTGAGGCTCCCAGACCC